GTGACCTTTTGTCCTCCAACAGATGTTTCCACTGACTCCACGCTGGGATGGTCAGTGATGGTTTTTTTTCCTCTCACTGTTGTGGCACAGTCTGTTTCGTGTCAATTCTACCTCTTGGTTTACTTGAGTTCTTTGAATCTTACCGTTACAAACCATCTTCACGTCGTACTGATAGGACACCATTGTGATAGGCACGATAGAGTAGCGTGAATTTAAAAGCGAATGACGTGGTGAAAGTGTTGGCGAGATTAGTCGTATAGATCCGAGGGCGATGTCAGAAGCTCTGAGCATGCTTATAGATAAAGAGGACACTGATATGTGAACAACTTGCTAGCCTCAGTAGGTGCAGGGTATCGAACATTACTCATCACCGTCTTGGAAATTCGAAACGCCTCGCACAAAGCGCTCATCAGCTCCCGATAGCCTAACATGCAATCAGCCTATGGCTGGTTCTCTGGTCTTAGCAAGCCGCCATTATTGCCCTGAGACGGGAATATGGATGCTTGGGCCTGGTTTGTGCGGCCAATTGGGCATGCTCCTGTGTGGCGAGGAATTATGATCAGGAAACGTCACCTAATTTAGCCCACTAGTCAGCGTTATCACGCATTGCTCGATTTACGTTTGCCAAGTTGTCCTAGGTACAAAACTCCATGCGGTTTAGACGATTTGTGCTAATCGTTTCCCAAGTGATAGCTTACCGCCATACGACTCACTTGTACGATACGTTACAGAAGGGTTGGAAATATTAGCGTATCGAAAATCGCTACGTTCCTCTACTTCAGATCTCTGTTAATTCTGCCTTAATGGCAGGCAAGTATTTAAGACGGTAAAACTGCGCCTATGTACACTAGGGGACTACTATCTGACATTTCCGATCTTTGAGGCTTGTACTGCTGATCCCTTGACGCTTTTTGGCAGCTGTTAATTCTGCCCACCAACCCCCATTGACTCCAACCCGTATGAGGGACTAATACGCTGGCTGAATGGAGTATGAGTGGTGTTATTAATATGGGGAGTTTGTACCCGCGGCTGTAAGGCAAGAGATCAAGCAATTTCCCCTCATTTTAGGAGTGGGCTTGTCGATGGAGATTTGTGATTTCACAGGAGCAATGTGGACAGAGATACTCATACAGTAAGTGGCCAACGTATGCTAAAGCAAACAGGGGCGAGACTGTTGGCTGTGACAATCAGGAGACGTTGGGTAAAAGCTTATGATGCAGTTAAACAATGATCGCCAGAGATTAGCATTTTTTGTTTTCTTTCTCATGGTTCTCTGTTGTGCGATGCTGGCTGGGTCTGATGCGTTGTTCGTATCGCTACAGTCTCAAACGACCTAGTAGCGCGCTTGCTTTCTTGTGCCCATCCACGTCTGTAACCGCACCTCGGTCTATCAAATCGATGCAGCGCTGCGTTCTTCTCGCCAGTGACAGATAATGTCATCCCGCGCAACTGTAAGATACCTACATGCAGCGCAACTATATCCATTCAATATAGTAAATAGTTTAATAGCTAGGCTGTTGTCTTCCGGCAAAGAAGTAAGTATCAGGCCTGATAGCCCTATCGCACTATAGTAGTCTTTGATATCCTTTAGCACCTTGCCTTTTAGCTGATGCTCTTGTCGAAAGTTCGAGTTAATTGGGTCGAATAGCTGGTTTATTGAGCCAACAAAGTAGCATTCAATACTGCTTATTTAATTATATAATGCCCTCCATATTATCACTAATTCCATCTAGCTATTCTCTGTGACTACATATAACAGAGTAGTAGATATTATTCTGTTTATATTCCTACTTATCAGCTACTCTATGCTGTGTAATTAACCCTTACCCCAAATCGGCGCTAGTTCACCACAAGCACCAATAAGCGACTCGGCGTAAGCCAAAGCCGTAAAAGCCAATCGATTGACCCCACTAACCCATTTTAGTAGACGATTTAACATGAATCTCCTGCGAATAATGCCTGGGCTGGAGATCAATACCAAAGCGTGATGGCGACAACCACGATAGCAACAAGTGTGGCGGAAGGACCATAACGACTCGCGATCAACTCTGTTGCTCCGCTTCTATCTGCAGTTTTATTGTATTGTCCAACCAGTGCTGGAAGCTGGTCTCCACCCTCGACAAGCACCATGGCCATGCCAACCTATTTCAACATCAGTAGGCAGAATCGCGCCTATCAATTAAGAAACTCACAACGATGTGCCACTGAAGATGACAATGAAACATCCAAGCACCGGGATTATCCGTGACATAACTATACAGTGATTTCTTAGCTGCAGTGCAGATATTAAGCTCCTCTCGACGAGACTTACCGGATCGCAGCCCACCCTTGCGAAGGGAGGCCCATCGTGTCACGGTAAGGGGGATCCCGAAGGTTAATGAGGTCCGCTGGCGCGTCTGTGACAGCTGCGTACGGAAAAGATCCCTCACCAGAACCTAGAACCCAGAACTTATGGCCATGAAGGTGTATCGGATGGCCCATCTACCCAGTTACGTCAGTACTTAGTAATCAAGCGACACTGCTTCCTTAGGCCGGACAGAGGGTAGAACGCACCATATCCATAGATTGGTTTGAAATGCTCATGATGATATCAATAGTTGAGTTGATGGGTAAGTGCATGGTCGTGTTTGAATTCCAGCCGGAGGAGTTTTCCCCATAGATGATAGGGACGTCTGGCTCCGAGAACGGAGCACGATCGATTACCCAGGTCACAATGTCTGTCTGGCTCACGACAAAAGACAAAGCCTTATCGGGCCGCCCCGAAGGTGGCGAATTGTGGCCGTCGAATGGAGAGAGTGCCGAGGGGTCAAGTAGGGCAGCGTCCGCCTTGGCTGATCCGTTAATGTACATCCACGACTTCGCTGGATCTTCTATAACGTCCGTGGTGGAACTATTGTCAGCCTAGAGAGTCAGGATTTTGCACGCTACCACCGATGTGTGAACCGTTAGAGACCAGCGCACTTACATTATATGATACGATCGCCTGCCCTTCAAGGACCTGCTGCATGTCGCCGCTGGGGAAAGTAGTGAATCTGAGGTAGTAATTCCCAGGAGACTGATCAAGCTTAACCATAACGGAATACCGCTGGCCGAGCTCCATGTGAAGCACCTAACTTAGATCAGTGGAAAGTACGTTATGATACTGCCAAGAGATACTCACATTCACCTCTTGTAGCTTAGTATAAAGGCCGTCGGCAGCATAGACAAACATTGAATGCCCATCCAACGAGACCCTCAGGGCACTGACGGCACCAGAATTGACCAAGTTGAGAGCCAACCAACCTCTCGACTGATCCGTAGAGATGACTAGCAAATGCGAGGTCGTGTTGGTGCAGGTCTCGGGCGGCAGCGACGATATATTGAACCCCGGCTTGAACATCATGGGCGGCATACAGCCACGGGGATTCAAAGAGTCCATTCCCGGCATATCAGGCATCCCCGAGGATGCTGGAGAAGTAGAGTGGTCCATTGACATGGTGGCAGATGGCCGTGATGTGACCGGGCTCACAGGTGACTCCATGGGCATGTCATGCATATCGCGTCCTTTCAACATGTCCATGCTTGGCATATCCGACATATGTTGCATTTCGGAAGTGGTCGCTGATGTCCCGAGTGCTGTAGTTGTCTTTTTCGGCTCTATTCCGAGCCCTGGTCCGGACTCAAGGGCGCTCTTCGGGAGGCACTGTACCCTTCCTTGGCCGTTAGCCAAAATACTATCAACACACGACGGGAAAGCACCGGTCTTCATATATCGCGCAAATACGACATCCGAGAGTTCATGCGTCCAGTCATTCAGAAGGACATTTGTCGCATTTCGTTCAGCGGCCAGGAGCGCTGCGAGCTCGTCCTGATCTTGAGCCAGTGTTGCGAACGGACGTTGGCGTGATGCGGCCGGTCGGATGAGAAGTGGACCGCGAATGGCGTCATTATAATAGGCACGGAAGTGAGAATGGTACCAAAAAAACCCGTACTCGGACGCCGTAGAAAACCGATAGGTATAGTTGCCCCCTGGAGGAATGGGGTCCTATAGATTTGTTCAGTAAGGCTTGGTACAATGGAAAAGGGAATGCTCGGAGGAGGTTAATCTAACCTGTGTAACACCTGGCACACCATCCATATGGGGAGTTCCTCGCTGCAAGAGTCCTAGTTCGGGGAATTGTTTTTAGCGGCTATTTGGTGCGGTACCTCTGATCAGGGAGATAACGAACCATGCCAGTGGATGGTGGTCTCGACATTCAAGTCGTTCTGGACAAAAATTTTGACATCGTCCCCTTCATCCACGTCAACCAAAGGCCCCGGCTGCTGGCCATTAATGAGATACACTTCGCGCTCGAATCCATCTGTATGGTAGTTAGTGGCACTGCACTGGCTTGAGTGTTTCATTAAGTTTTTGAGGCTAGGTAGTCACATGCCTGGAGATTTGAAAGCACTGTGAACGGTGAAATTGAATTGGCGTAGAGCAGCTCTCGCGCCAACAGCGTAGAGGGCGACAACAAGAGATGACACAAGCATCTCGGCGTCAACATGTATGTGGCCCTACTGCAGTCGTGTACGCGGTAGAGATTGGAGTTGACGGGTAATGTGCTGCGCTCCGGGATCCGAGCCGGTCCTACACGAGATATTGAAAGGAGCACGTTAATGTAAGTTTTTAAATGATAACTTAGAAAAGTAAAAATAAAAAATATAAAAAAAGTCGCGTACATCGAAATGCTGCGAAAAACACCAGGGAAGAAAAAGAAAGAAAGAAAGAAAGAAAAGGCGTAGGGGCGCAGGAAGTTTGTGACCTTACGGCCAAGCGAGAAAATCACCAGGCCCAACAGCCAAACGGAGCCCCTACAAGGCCAGATCAGTCAGGCCCATCAGAGGGAATAAACAAACACAGCTTAAAGAGGTACCCAGGACATATCTTACGAGCTGTTCTTGTCTAGAATCGGTGCTACGACAAATGCAAACCCCCGTCAATTCATACGAAGATACGTATAGTGTGCGGGATTTGTGCGGCGCTAATGAAACCACACTCTGCATGGCCCCCTGGTTGCCAGGGTTGGCAAGCCATGACGCAAGCACTTTTTAACCAGCCATGTGGTCAATCCGTAATTCCCCTGCTCGAACGCGGCATTTGTGCGGAGTTTAGCGCCGTCTTGTTTGCATGGAAGGGCGGGATCCGGCAGACGGCGAGTGCTCATTGGCTGGCCCGAAGCAGGCCCCTCACGCCGCGAACTCTGTATCTACCTTGGACCATAGGAGGTCTGGGTGCTACAAGCTCCATATTCTGTGGAACACATCCATCCACCAAGTCCACGCTTACAAAACCCCCGCTAGTTCAACTCCTAATCCTCAAAGATTTGTTTTAACAAGCTGTTAGTGGGTTTTACTGGAGGTGGGGCAGGTAGCCGCATGGAAGCTGGTGAGGATGGAGATGACAGAGAGCTCTTACGCGTATCATACAACGGCGAGTAGAATAGACAGAAACTAAAAGTTTACAGTACCAACACAGCGCATACTCTCTTTTCAATACAGGACTGCGTAGATCTTCCATCTGTTACCATTTGTTCAGTTGTACGTCACGCATCATCAACTTCGATGCAAGCAGGGGCCAGGGCTGCCGTCAGATCAATCAAATCAGATTAGGACCCAAATCTGATCTGAACTGATAAATCACCATTCGAATCTGATCTGATTTGATTGATT